AAATCTGTCATAATTTGACCAGGGTACAAAATCTCTAATTAGCACATAATCATGACAGTGACAATAGACAATGCACAGATACAAACAGTGTCCGTAAAGTGGGGTTGACGATGTATAAGAGTCTGTCGCTCGGGACACAGAAAAGTGTCCGTTGTCTGTATTAACGGGTGTCCGTAATAAGCAGGTTAATTTTAGAAAAAATATATGAGCTTTTCGTTGGGGAAAACGAAACTGTCCGTAATATCGGGGTGTCCGTAGAGCAGGGTTCCACTGTACAACTAAAAGATAACGTTTTTCAAAAGAAAATGAATGCGGTTCGTGGAAGCAACCTGCCGACATGTGCCGGAACACAGAAATTTTACTCGCAGAAAAAATTGTAAACTCAATGTAATCCGCATGTCATGGAAACTTTGATAAACACTCCATTCTTCGATCAAGAAAAGTGTACGTAACTGCTAGAATGAATGATTTTGTGCCAAATAGAAATGTAGATATCGTGTCAGTTTTGATGAGAGATCTAGTTGGAGCTATTAAAATGTGAAGTCAATAAACATTTTGCAAACGATTTGCCGACACATGCCGATACACAAAACTTTTCCTTGAAGAAAATGAACTTAACGCGAGCGGTGGGCTATTAAAACTTTGATCAACAATTCGTTCATCAAGGAAAGAGTTATTTTACTGTTTGAATGAACAATTTGTGCCAAATGGAGCCAGAGACATAATTTTTTTGACGAGAGATTTTATTGGAGTGCTTCAGACAATAAACATTTTGCAAGCGAAGTGCCAACACATGCCGATACACAGAACTTTTCCTTGCAGAAAAATTGACTAAACGTGAGCGGCGCGCTATAGAAACTTAAACAAACAATTTGTTCGTCAAGAAAAGAGTATTTCTACCGTTTGAATGAACGGTTTGTGTCAAATAGAACCAGAGATCTCATTTTTTTGACCAGACCACAGAACGCTTCAGACAAAAAACATTTCACAAGCAATTTGTCAACGCGTGCAAAACACATAACTCTTCCTTGTAGTTTCATAATTTACCATTCTCAAAATTAACTGGGAGTCAATGTGACCAAAGGTGATTATTTCATTTAAAAACTATGAGGACTACTTACAAAATAATTCTTTGCCCCAGTGAGTTGTTCACAGCGGTAAATTGCAAAGTAAACATTTACACATGTAATATCCATTAAATGAAAACAATTTGTTAAAATAAGGAGTTTAAGCAACTGTTTCAATTTTTTTCCCAACTTCTTGGCAGCTAAAGATCAAGCAAGTGTTAATAAACGGTAGTTTGTTGGTGAACTTGCGAAGCAATCGAAAACTTGAAATATTTAAGCGTTTATTGACGTTTTTAACAATATGCAAATTTCGTGTTGAAACCTGATGGTTTTTTTATTCCAGGAATGTCCATTGTTTGTCCAACAATGCTTCATATAAAGAAACTTATGGGAATGCATAACAAAGAGACATAAGCGCGTACATACGCACATATGTGTGCGTATTGACATATGTGTATACGCAAAATACACGCGTATAATAGGCGTATGCGTAGTTCGCATATATCTGAGCTGCACTGTATGTTACAGAACATTTTTTCCTCTGAGCTATATTTAGAAGATAAATGTTCAAGCCATAAAAGTAATGTATTTACATAAGAAAATGAGACCGTATGGAAATTTGAAATAATAGGCAGAAGCAAAAAACTTCTCAAGTGTGATACCCTCACAGATGATCTTTGGCAATGTTTTGGTTAAAACTGTCAAAGCTATTGATGGATCAAATATTACAACCACCTTTGAACTTTGTATACTAAGCACTTGTTTGACTCCAAACACAAAAGATCAATTCATCGCTTTGGTTACCATTTTGTTCACAATGGTAGAGCAAATTTTGGTCCTCTTGCAAAATACCCTGGTCAGCAGAATTACCGCCGAAAACAATATGACACACTCACTGACAGAGTGAGTGAATTATTTCTTCCCCATGTACCTGCTCTAGCTCCCTCTTGATACCTGTCCCTATCACTTGTTAATTAAGAGCCTGTTTAACTTTTAATCTGTGATAAGGCTTCGTTATTTTTTGAGCAACCAGCCCCTGCAAAAAAGCACTCTCAGGCAAGCTGCACTGTGATTTTTGGTAGGGAAACGTTCTATGCAATTCTTTATAATAGTATTTTGTTAGTATGCTTCTAATTCTGTAATGCCACGATTGCTTTGATCTTGTTGACAGTTGCATGTCATTGAAGTTGGGACTCCTCCTGCAGGAAATCAGCCATTCACAAAAAAGGCTGTGGAAGTACTGTTCCCACCAGAAGCTCAAAATGACTTTCCTGTGGCCATGCAGGTAAAGTTCTGAATTGTGACTTCAAATTGTAGTTAAAAGGTGTCGTCATTATTGAAAACATTTTTTTTTCTTTAGTTTGATGGTTAGTGAATTGTCTTTAAATGATGCTGCAGGTAAAGTAATTCTCATCAAGACTGCTGCCTAATGGGTGCCCCATCACCTGAGACACCTCAGTTGCGAGTGCGGGTGACTAAATTTTTGTTCAAGAAGCCTGACTGGGCACTTAAACATAGAGTTTTCATTCCCATCTAATCTTTCCGATGACTTCAATCCCTTGTAACCAGGAATAACACGCAATTCGTGATCATAACTTCGTTCAACTTGCCTAAAAATTCCCATTTAAAAAGTACTGATGAAGTAAAAAATAATTGCTACTTATTTGAAAGGCTTTTCAAAGTCAAGAAGAATGGCGTTTTCCTTTTTGGAATACAGTCGAACCTCGATTATCCGGACTCGTCGGGACCTCGGTAAATAGTCCGGATAATCGAAAACATGTTTATTAATGAGATAGAAATGTACACAAAAGGTATACAGCAAAGAAAACATCATTTTAATTGTGAAATCTACACAGCTTGTATGTATTTACAAATAAAAACCTTCAGTTCAGGTATTTACAAAGGTCTAAAATGTTCAAGCATGTTTGTTTGCTTCAAA